TACCAAAAGTCAGCAGAGGTGACGCTTATCTCTTTGAAACTTATTTACTCTTCAGCTTCTCTGATATGCCTCTCACCACAACCGTAAACAGCTTATCCGATAACGGGAACACACGGATCAAGCTGTTAAGCTTCTTGTTTATTTATCAGCCTCCACTTATAGGACCAAATATAATACTGAACAACATTTGAAGACTGCATTTCATAACTGAAAACCACAAAAATCGGCGTTGTTACATTTTAAACCGCAATAGTGCAGATAAAGTGCAATAAGTAGAAGAAATTTTGCCGCATGGACCTCTAAAACATTCCTAAGCGACTAAGCTCTGCAGAATTTGCAGTTGCACAGGTTGAAGTTGTGTATAGTATTGAAATCACCCAGTCTGACCCACTTTGCTTAGATGTTGTGGTCAAGTAATCAGGTCGACTTGCTTATTTCAGCAGGTTTTCTTATGCAGTCTTTTGAACAGGAAACCTCACGCAGGAAGCTGATTTTCTTTGTTGTTGTGATTCCTTCCTTACATCGTAACAGCAAAATACAGTACCCGTCGTAAGAGTTAGTAAGATCACATCCATAGCGGGTGTTGGAGCACATGATAGAACAAAGTTCCAATAAGACAGGTGGTTACGGTGGGGTAACAATATCTCGTTCCATGACCAAAATGAACAATCTCGCTCGACAAAAATACGTTTTTATTCGCTCCATTTCCGTCATCGCAGACGGTCTGGTATTTGAAACCCCCAGATCTTCAACCTGACCTTTCAATCGGTCTTATACTCCACCAAAGATTCGAACAGAGCTGGTCGCAAAGGAGCTTAAGGTAATTATCAAAGGAAGTGCAGGAACATAGGGCAGCTTCGAAGTAAAGTTAAAGGCACAGTTAACGGTAATTTTTATGTACCCTTTTGAAGTTGAAAAGCGTAAGTGCTGGTGAAAAGTAGTGCACCAGTGGCTAGAAAGGCGAGAAAATCAGTCGACTCCGCGGAAAGTAAGGCTTTAAGGAGTGGAATAGAGGTTGTACGAGATCAGCATGGTGGGATTGGCATATAGGGAGTATTTGGACAAGTTTTCAGATGTTACAGTTGCTTAAAGAACTAACTGACTGCACCAAACAAAAAATGTCAAGAACTGCCTTCCACAGTGATCATGGATAACGTCTAGTTCTTTGTATTCAAAACATGGAGTCTCTTGAGATGGTGCAGCAAGCTGCAACACCGTCGAAATCCGTTCAATTACATACAATATAACTTCTGAGCCTTTATAACCCTCTATCTAAATATCGATCTGACGCGCCACGCATGGTATACGGGGACTCCACAAATTCATCAAGCGATCTCTCGCTGTATCGATCTGTGGGCGTACAACCTCTATCTCGAAAACCGTTTTCATTGCAAAGTGCTCCTTAAATTAGCGAGAAAAAGAAGTAGTAGGTGACAGCCAGGCGAACGAGACACAATGATTGGGGTTGTTTGCTGTAGCTATTTACCGCCCAACTGATGATTGGGTGGAGCTCTGCGGCCGACCCCCTCAAAGTTTCAATTAATTAAGGTTCACCTACTGCGAAGTGTTAGAAACAGACTGGACTCTTGAATGACATCTGGCTTCCATAAAAGTGTCCATTAGGCCCCTGCACTGCCCAAAGGTGTAGGCACACCATAAAATAGAACGGGGACAAATGGAAGAGTTCCCGCATGTAGCTGTCAAGCCTGTGGGCGTATTCTATATTCTACTACAAAAACCTCAAGTTTTTTGCTGAGAAAAGAGTCCCGGCAAATCGCGATTATTCACTTCCGAAGTTCTGCTGGGAAGTTCTGTATGCGGGACATTCAAAGATCGGTCACTTAAAAACTTTCTACGAAAATTCCTCTTTCCTAAAAACACATTGTGACCACTCACATCGTCAGATGGACGTTGTTCCTCAGTCTTAATGGCGACTCCTCGAGCGTGGTGGACCTAGTTGGTCATAACATAACTCAGACTACTAACCAGCTATGAAGCTGAAAAGAGCTGAAATTCGACTGCCAAATGATCCCGCATCTAATTGTAAGACGACATTTTAGTTAAGTACCACTAAAAGAAAAAAGTATAAGTCAATAAAACACTTTGGATGATGTCATGAAGGGAAATTCACAGAAACACAATTAGCATTCCATGTTTATTATTGTTTAGTTCTTGTCTGCCGATGGAAACATTCCACATGACTAGAATTCTTTGACGTTGATAAGCAGGCTGTGAAATAGGATGCGATGGTAGCGGAGAGAAACGATGATAACCAAAAGATGGTGGCATCCATTGTCTGTTATTCGTCGGTCGATTCGTTATCAAGTCGAGCTCGTAGCGAAACGACCAGCTGTCGGAGTTCGTCGATCGCCTTCGCCTGCAAAGACTTCCGCGTTACTTTCAACTTTGCACCTTCTCTCAACTACCAGACGTGTTTTAGAAAAAATACGCAACAACCTACCAAGATCATGTTTTGTCACAAAGAAGAGTAAAATATGAACAAACAATCACCTCCACAGTGGGCCACTCATACAACTTTGGCTCAAACAATGCACATTTCAAAAGCTTGCTATCCTAATTTCTCGATTTTCGCACTCCAACGATGAAATAGCTCAAGTATGATCCTTCTTGTAAGAAATCTGGACTTCAAGCATGAAGTTCGAATCCCCTTTTTTTATAGCTTTCGGGAGCTGGATACACTACTGAACTCAGCAAGTCGAGCTCAAATGATGGTGAATCAAAATCTTGAAGAGCTCTTACCTGGAGTAGCAAGTTCATGTGGCATTCTCTCTATTCAAATATACATCTCATACAGTGATGAGAATATAGCCATAGAATCGTTCAACAATCTCGTACTAAAGTCAGATCCCCGCGGAAATTCCGTGTCAGCTCGATCACACGTAATCATTTCTTCTGTAGCGTTTCCTAGCTATCTGTGCGTGGCAATTCCTGGCGATCCTTTTATTGACCTTTTCTTAACTATTCTATCCACTATTATTATTTTATTTATTATTATTATTATCATTTTTTTTACTTTTTACCTCCTATTTCCATTTCATACCAAAATACACGTATGCATAGCGTACTGGTCGATTTCCTAGAACAAGTTCAATTCTACGATAGTAGATCGCTCGCGGAACAGTTCTTGTTTTGTTTCCGTTCTCAGCCTTGTGCTATTTACTGGCCGATCGTCCAAGTGCTGGACGGCAGCGTAATTCACGTGGTCAGCGTGAAGGGAGATAGGTGCACGCTTAGAACACTCGTCCCAGCACCGGCGCAAAAGAGTCTCTAGCTGTGACGAGGCTAAATGGCGCCACCTTATGTGGCGCATAGGGGAATAACTCATTAAGCAAAAGTCCTCGACCAGAAGAGGTGCATGGATTCAAAGAACGGACTCCTCGATTTTGCTGTGCTGCGTGGATTCACAGCTTCTACCTTCTCGGAGCCATCCGTGCATGCGCGTGTGCAAGGTCTGCGGCAGTGCCTAGTATTCAGCACATCGACTCATTGGTCAGTCATAAGCTTTGGTTCGAGAAAAGGGGAAGTAACTGGAAGGCGATTCGAAGACAACTCGAAAAGTTAGCCTCATTACCACTCTGGGATAGCCTGCCTAGATCTCGGATTCTACTCCGATAAAAACGACCCTTCTTACCTTACTTGAAATTTCAGCAAAAATGGTTTCTAGAATGTTTTCTAGGGAGGAACAGCTGAGTTTTTAGAAGTGCCTTAGAAGTGTGGACTCAAAGGCACAGCTTACACTAATTTAGAGGTGTCTAGCTTAGCGGGGATAATAGTAGTTAGAGTGTGGAATAGAGCAAAAATGACGAAAAAAGCATGCGAAACGGTAGATTTCAGGAAAAACAAGGCTCTAAAAGTTGAGTAATGAAGGAACTGCATGAGATTTTTGCCTGCAACCGTCTGAGGGTTTCCCACATAATCGTACTACTCGTCGTCGTTCAAATGCTTCATTGTAAATGGTGAAGCCCTGACGAGGCTGTCATTACATGACCCTTTTTTGGCTGTGCACGTCGGCCAAGCCAGCTCTGCAGCCCGGTCATGTCGAAGTCGTTTTCGACCAGACAGATATCCACATGCTATGCTTGGAAACCATTAGTTCACCATGGCGGAAATTTCAACATCCATTTTCATCGTGAACTGCGCTCGGCACCCAGTAGGGCCACAAGAGACATCAATAGTATCGTAGGGGTGTGATGGTAAAATAATATATCAGTTTTTTGACCCCCTGAAGAATATCCTGAGAAAGTGAACCTGGGTTTGTACCCAGCCATTCAGAAAACGTCGTCGCAAAACCTGCCATACGGCAAAAAGTCTCTCGACATATTTTGCGAGGGGTTCTCTGGCGGCAAAGTAAGGCAAGACTGAATTTATTTGCCATCAGCTTTACAGCTCTCGCTTTCGATTGCTTGACAATAGGAATAAAACCGATAGAAACAGTACCTGCATGATAATATGGTTCTTAGCTAGCAGTAGGGTGGCAATTTTGCTGAGTTTCCGCACTGAACCTCCACGAGCATATGGTAGGACAGCACGAAGATCATCTAACGCCTCGTTGAGATCGTGCATCCGACATCGCTCCCGCATATTAATCGAAAGCCTCACCCCACCTTCCGACGACGTCATCTGAAACCTTCAAATAAATTCATCTACCAGCAAATCGCAATTAATTTGAACAAGAGCTAAATTACTCGTTTTCTCGTGTCTGGAAAAATAAACTCTGACGACGACCAGAAGCAAGAAAAGGAAATGCAGATCAAATAGTTCTGATATCCATCTGTTCTCCGTCCATCAGTAAGATTGAGCCTTACAATACAAAAAACCACTTGAACTATGGAATCCGTGAGCAACTCCTTTTTAATCGCCACCTCTATTCCATGACGTCCGTGCGACGGCCACGATACTTGGGAAGGTCTAGTTGAAGCCCTGATCCCACAACTTTTCATAGCTACTGAAGTGCCCATTTTAGGCAAGCACTCTTCAGAAAACATTTCAAGAACCGGTTTAGTGACCGGCAAAGAAATCAACTTTCACCAGTGTCGACTTTCTTACTATAAGAGTTAATAGATAGCAGCTTGACCATCCAGGGCGCTGATACGATGATGAAGTCTCCCGAGTTATTCTTGAACATTGTTGCACCGAATCTAGTAGTAGAGTTTGTTATTCCGATTTCTCGACTACTTTTGATAACGAAACTTGATAGTAAAAAGAGATGTTCTGATAATTTGCTGTGAGAATACTGAAAGAGAAAGAA